TGTGTGGCCACCACTATTTACCAGAACTGCCTTAACTCTCCTGGGCATGGAGTTTACCAGAGCTTCACAGGTTGCCACTGGAATGCTTTTCTACTCCTCCATGACGACATCACAGAGCTGGCGGATATTCGAGACTTTGTGCTCCTCCACCTTCCACTTGAAGATGCCCCAAAGATGTTCTATTGGGTTTAGGTCTGGAGACATGCTTGGCCAGTCCATCACCTTTACCCTCAGCCTCTTCAATAAAGTAGTGGTCGTCTTAGAGGTGTGTTGGGGTCATTATCATGCTGGAACACTGCCCTGCGACCCAGTTTCTGGAGGGAGGGGATCATGTTCTGCTTCAGTATTTCACATTACATATTGGAGTTCATGTGTCCCTCAATGAACTGTAACTCCCCAACACCTGCTGCACTCATGCAGCCCCAGACCATGTCATTCCCACCACCATGCTTGGCTACAGGCATCATACACTTATACTTCCAGGAAGATGGCGCCGCTGTGCATGGCCTGCCCTCCACCTCTGTCTGCAGTGATTGTGTTTTTTCTGTTTTTGTCATTTTTCACCTTTAACATCGACTCACTGCTGGTTTATGAACGTCATCAACTCCTAAATCTCCAACTATCTGCCACCAGTCTCGCTTTGTTTGATCATAATGATCGTAACTCTGGACCCCCTCTTGGACCCCCACCTTTGCTTGAAGACATTCCTGTTTGCTTCTGCCCGCTCGAAGACATCACTCCAGGCGCTGTTGAAAACGGGCCGGCCGTTTTGTTAGGATCAAAGCCTGCCGGGCTGCTGCTGCGGCTTCCTCTTCAACCAAGGACCACATCCTAAATCACCTGTCCTGGCACTGCACCGATCCACCTGAGTCCTTCCCGGTCCCACGGGTCAAGTCGCGCTTCCACAGCGGACCTGTTCGCCGCGGCTGGGCTTCCGGTTGTTGGAGTCGCGGGTCGAACTCCACAAATCTGAGACCGCTGGTCTTAACTTCATGGGCAACTTCTCCTGCTGTGATTCCTACAAGGATTGCACTGATAAACGCCAGATCTCTGGCTAATAAAACATTAATCTTGAATAACATTTTCTCCTCCACCGGTCTGGACTTCTTCTGCGTGACTGAGACGTGGCTCTCCTGTGGTAAGTTCATGGTCCTGTCGGAAATTTTACTACCGGACTGTTTTTATTTTAATGCTCCGAGAACATCAGGCAAAGGTGGTGGATTATTAACTATTTTCAAAAAACGTTGGAACTGCAAACTGGTACAAATACCAGCTAATTTTTTGAGCGTCGAACTGCTGTGTTTTGAGGTGGGCCGTTCAAATCCTGTTTTTTCTGCTGTGTTATACAGGCCACCCAAATATAATAAGGACTTCATGGCTGAACTCTGACTTTTTAACTTCGATCTTACTCAGATATGATTGTGCTTTGATTCTGGGAAATTTCAATATACATGTCTGTTGCCCTGAAATGTTGCAGGACCAACTCACCAGCATGGCCACACACTGGATTTAGTGTTAACCAATAGTTTATTTGTTTCAGAGTTAAAAATTGGGAATGTGCTTTTCTCCAACCACAAACCCATTGTTTTCAACACTTCTTTATCAACGAGTCCAAACCCCCTCCCCCTCCAGCCAGGCCTTGTAGAATATTTATTTACTGCTGCGCTCCTTTCCTCTGCTTTTATTAAAAACTTTCTCTCAGTCTCTGAATCCTCTTCCATGAACACCCATGAGCTAGTCACTGTACATCAAGAGACCTATGCTAAGGTGCTAGACCTAATTGCCCCATTAAAAATTAGGCATCCAAACCATGCGCCACACCGTTGGATGAATGAGATCACTCAAGCAGCCAAACGTCAATGCAGGAAAGCTGAACGTATCTGGAAGAAGGACAAACTTAACGTTTCTTTTACCATACTAAAAACATGTTACAAAGAGTACCAGGCCACTGTTAAATCAGAAAAAAAAAAAAAAAAAAAAAATATATATATATATATATATATATATATTTCTCCCAAATCATTTCCTCAAACAGCCACAATCCCTGTGTTCTTTTCAATACCATTAATGCCATTTTAACCGTGCCTCAGTCTGCCAACATGGAGGCCTCTGCAGTTACTTGTGATGACTTTGCCAGTTTCTTTGTTAAAAAGGTTGAGTCGATCAGGTCACTTGATTCCTCACACCACAGCTGACCCCTCTGTCTTTGTCCCCTTCACATCAGTCTTTAACCAGTTTGAACCCATTTCCCTCTCATTTCTAAATGACGTCATTGGTCATATGAAACCCTTAGGTTCCCCTGCTGACCCCATCCTTGCATCGTTTTTTAAACAAGTCCTACCCTCCATTGGACCCTGTGTTCTTGACATTATAAACAGCAGTATGGCTACAGGTTAATTCCTGACGCTTTTAAACATGCAGTGGTAACTCCTTTAATTAAAAAAACCCGGACTTGACCCTTCAACCTGCTCAAACTTCAGATCTAACTCCAAACTCCCCTTTCTTTCTAAGATCCTAGAGAAAATAGTTTTCACTCAATTAAACAAGCTCTTGAGTGGAAATTCTATTCTTGAGATCTTTCAGTCTGGCTTTAAGGAACTACACAGCACCAAAACGGCTTTAGTTAGGGTCTGTAACAACATTCTTCTGGCAAATGACTCTGGTCAGTCTGTAGTCCTGGTACTCCTTGACCTTACCGCTGCATTTGTTACTGTGGACCACAGTATCCTTTTATCCCGGCTAGAACACTGGGTTGGTATTACTGGTGCAGCGTTAGAATGGTTCCATTCATACCTGAGCGACAGGAGTTTCTGTGTTAATTTTGCTAACACTCTATCTACTTCAGTGCCTCTTTCCTGCGGTGTCCCGCAAGGCTCCATTCTTGGACCCCTTTTTGTTTTCATTGTATCTCCTCCCCTTAGGGTCTATCCTGAGGAAACATGGTCTTTCCTTTCATTGTTATGCTGATGGTTCTCAGATTTATCTGCCGTTAACACCTAACAGTTCCTCCTCCATTCGCCCTTTGTTAAAATGTCTTGATGACATCAAAACTTGGATGGCTGCGAACTTCTTGAGTTTTATTGATCAGAAGACTGAGGTCATTGTGTTTATTAACCCTAGCTCTGCCACTGTCACTGATCCTGCAAAACCTGGACTCCATTCAGCCATATCTAAAACAGTCTGTTACCGATCTTGGGAGAGTTTTAAACTTTAAGATTTTAAGATTCTTCTGCTGACATTTAAGTGTGTTAATGGCCTTGCACCCTCATACCTCTCCGACCTCCTTCATCCTTATGCTCCTTCTCGGGCCTTGAGATCATCAGACCAGCTGCTTTTGGTGGTACCAAAAATCAGGCTGAAGATCAGAGGAGATCGAGCGTTTTCAGTCATGGGCCCTAAACTCTGGAACAATCTGCCCATCAACATTCGACAGGCCACCTCAGTCTCTATTTTTAAATCTCTCCTCAAAACACATCTGTACTCACTGACATTTAACACAGCGTGATCTCATTTGGTATTTCATTGTTGATGATTGTGTTCATCCATGTTGCTTTTACTCCCTGACATTTAACGCAGGGTGATTTGATTTAGTATTTCATTGCTTCTAATTATATTTCATGTTTTTATGCTTTTATTCATGTTGCTATAATGTCTTATTAATATTTACCATACCATACCATTTTATTTATAGAGAAAAACAGCGACAAGGCCAACCAAAGTGCTGTACAGACAGAAGAACAGTAAAACACAAAGTAATATACAAAATGAAGTAAATCAGAATATAGACATAAAAACAATGCAGATAATGACGACTAACCAGTGTGGAGCATACAGGTTCAAAACACAGATCATCTGGTGTTGAATGCTACTAAATAGTAGTGGGTTTTTAAACAGGACTTTAAAACCGAGAGGGAGGGGGGCCTGTCTGACAAGCAGCAGAGGTAACTCGTTCCAAAGTCTTGGTCCTGCTACAGAGAAGGCCCTGTCACCTCTGCGCTGAAGACGAGTTCCTAGAACTGTGAGGAGCAACTGGTCCACTGACCTCAGGGAAAGTGGTGCGACATACGGCTGTAGCAGATCAGAGAGATGGGGGGGCGACACTGTTCAGCGATTTGTAGACATACAGTAGTATTTTGAACTGGATTCGAAGGTGAACCGGTAGCCAGTGCAGGGAGGCCAAAACTGGTGTAATGTGCTCTCTTTTGCCTGTACTGGTTAAAAATCGGGCTGCTGCATTCTGGACAAGTTGTAGTCGTGCAGTGGAGGTTTGACTGATACCAAACAGGAGTGAATTGCAGTAATCAAGCCTAGATGTAATGAATGCATGTATTACTGTCTCCAGGTTATTTTTGGACAATATGGGCTTCAGTTTAGACAGCCTCCTCAGTTAAAAGAAACGTGATTTAACTATCATGTTTACATGATTGTTAAGTTTCAGGGAAGGGTCCATTATCACGCCCAGATTAGTGACTCTGTTTTTCTGACGGTTAGAGCGGAGAGGTTGATGCAGTGGTTTGTGATTGTGTCGTTGGGAGGGAACAACATGACTTCAGACTTCTTTTCATTGAAACTTAAGAAGTTTAAACCATCCAGTCCCTGATGTCAGCCAGGCAGTCGAACAGAGCTTGAATAGAGCATGTACCATTGTGGCTTAGGGGGAAGTAAATTTGACAGTCATCAGCGTAGAAGTGGAAGGGCATGTTGTGTTTCCGGAAAATAGCACCAAGTGGCAGCAGGTATAAAGAGAATAGGAGGGGACCAAGGATGGACCCCTGCGGAACCCCCCATTTAAGCTCTGCCGCTGCAGAACTAAAATCCTTGATGGAGACACAAAAGGATCTGTCAGTGAGGTAAGATCTGAACCAATTGAGGGTTGATCCTGTGATGCCCACCCACTGCTCCAACCTAGCAATGAGGATCTCATGGTCGATGGTGTCAATGGCGGCTGTGAGGTCCAATAGGACAAGCAGCACAGAATCACCGGTATTTGTGGATCTGAAGATGTCATTAAAAACTTTCAATAGGGCAGTTTCTGTGCTGTGGAGAGGTTTAAAGTCAGATTGGAATAGCTCTAAGATGGCGTGATCCTCCAGGAAGCACTTCAACCGGGACTCGACTATTTTCTCGAGTATTTTAGAAACAAATGGGAGTCTGGAGACAGGCTGGAAGTTGTACATGACTGAGGGGTCAAGGTTTTTTTTTTTTTTAAAGAGGCTGCACAGCAGCATGTTTAAAAGAATTTGGCACTACGCCAGTGGATAATCTACTGTTTACTATATCAAGAACGGACGTAACTAGAGTAGGAAAATCCTCCTTTAGCAGTATAGGGCGGACCACATCAAAGGGGGAACCAGAAGGTTTGAAGCTGCACATGACCTGCTCTAGAGAAGATAGAGTGATGGGTTCAAAATGGTCAAATGGAGCAACAGATTGAGGTGGGATGGATGGTTCATGAGTTGGAGGGGAAATGAGATCCCGGGTGGCCGCAATTTTTTCCAAAAAGAAATGTAGGAAGTTGTCGCACAGCTCAGTCAAGGCTTCCAGAGGTGATGGTTCAGTGAGGTGGAGAACAGAGTTTAGGGTGGAGAAGAGGACACGTCGGTTGTGAGAGTTAAAGTTTGATATCAGAGAAGTATTTGGATTTCGCAGCTTTCACTGCTTTCTGATAAAGGCGCCAACTCTTTAAGTATTTGAAAACAGACCTGCAGCCCGTCTTTCCTCCACTTTCGCTCCGCCCTCCTACATTGCTGCCTAACGGCCTTGGAGACGTCACTCAGCCAAGGTTCTGCTCTGAGTTTTGATTTTTTTATTTTAATAGGCGCGACACGATCCATAGTCTTTAAGAAGACAGAGTTGAACTGGGATGTCAGCTCCTCAGTGGTGGTGAGAAACACCGGGGCCTGAATTATCATTTCAGAGTTATAAACATCTGTGAAACGTGTGGCAGTGAAATGGTTAATGGTCCGGCTGCAACGTGCAGGAATGCACGACTTAGGAGTTAGATGGGGGAGGGTGAAC